TGATCAGGCAGGCGGCAGCGGGGGGCTGTCGCGGGGGGATGCCGTGCTGCGGCCTGCCCGGTTGGGGACTTGGAACCTGGGGGCATGGCGGCCATGGCTGCACTTCGCTGGATCGACGAGAACGTCGAAAAGATCATCATCCTTGTTTGCTACGTGGCGATGGCGGGGATCATCTTCGTCGAGGTGATTCGCCGCTTCGTCTTCAACGAGCAGGTCGCCTGGAGCACCACGGTCCCGATCTATCTCTTTCTCTGGATCGTCTGGGTCGGCTGCGCCTACAACGTGAAGATCCGCGCCCATCTGCGCTTTGACGAACTGCGTCACCGGCTCTCGCGCGGCGGGCAGTTCGCCTGTCTCTGCCTGGACGGCGCCCTCTGGATCATCTTTTCCGTCATCGTCATCGTCTATTCGACCGAGCAGGTCTGGCTGTCCTACGACAACTTCGCCATCGTTCAGGGCACCGACAACGTCATGCAGTGGTGGTTCTACCTGGCGACACCCTTTGCCTGGGCGGTGCTGGTGATCCGGGTGCTGCAGAACTTCGCCCATGATCTCCGCGCCTACCTCAGCGGCGAGCCCCTGCAGATCAAAACCAACATCTTCGGGGACTAAGCCGGTGGATACGCTCTGGATCATTCTCATCTCCCTCGGCGTCACCGTGCTCTTCGTGCTGGGGGTGCCGATCTTCCTGGTCATCGGCTTCTGGGTGGTCGGCGTCAGCCTGGTGATCGACTTCACCCTCGCCAACATCGGCGTCACGCTCTACGAGGGCTTGAACTTCTTCGGCCTGCTGGCGCTGCCGCTGTTCATCATGACCGGCGATCTCATCAAGTCGGCGGGCATCGCCAAGCGGCTCTCCGACTTCGCCTATTCGATTCTCGGCTGGCTGCGCGGCGGCCTCGCCATGGCTTCGCTCGGCGCCTGCGGACTCTTCGCCGCGATCTCCGGCTCCAACTCGGCGACCACGGCGACCATCGGTTCCATCATGCATCCGGAGATGACCAAGGGCGGCTACGACCCCAACTTCGCCGCCGCCACGGCGGCGGCTGGCGGCACGGTCGGTATCATCATCCCGCCCAGCATCATCTTCATCGTCTACGGCTTCCTGATGAACCTCTCCATCAGCGACCTCTTCATCGGCGGTCTGCTGCCCGGCCTGCTGATGGTGGTCTCGATGCAGCTGGCCTGCTGGTACGTCTGTCAGCGCAACGGCTGGGGCCATCTGATCCAGCTTCGCCTCGGGCGCATCATCAAGACCGCGCTGGGGGCCTGGCTCGGCTTCTTCGCCATCCTGCTGGTGATCTGGGGCATCTATGCCGGCGCCTTTTCGCCCACCGAAGCGGCGGGGGTGACGGCCGGCTTCTGCCTTTTCGCCGGGCTTATCATGCGCCCCTTCTCGCGGCGCTTTCACGGGCCCGAGGCGGATGACAGCGGCGCCCTGCCCGACCATGCCGGCGTCCTGGAACGCCTCATCATTCCCGGCTTCAGCCTCAGAGAGCTGCCTTCGATCATCATGCGTTCCGGCCAGATCACCGGCCTGCTGGCGCCGCTGATCGCGGTTTCCGTAGTGATGCAGCAGATCCTCTCGCTGCTCGGCGCCAAGGCCTTCGTCACCGATGCTCTGGGCGCGCTCGGCGGCTACTACGCGATCCTGCTGGCCTGCATGTTCATCGTGCTGCTGGCGGGCACGGTCTTGGAGAGTCTGCCCAACACCATCATTCTGGCGCCCATTCTCGCCCCCATCGCCGCCAGTATCGGCGTCGACCCGATTCACTTCGCGGTGATCTTCCTGGTCGGGGACGCCATCGGCTTCATCACGCCGCCTTATGGCCTGAACCTCTATGTCGCCAGCGGCATTACCGGCATCCCCTATTTCCGATTGTTGCGCTATACTCTCCCCTATCTTCTCGCGCTGATGATCGCCTGGCTGTTTATCGCCTTCATTCCCGATCTTTCGACCGCGCTTCTCGTGCACAAGGGTGCCGGCGTGTTCCAGGTGCAGTAGGGACGGCGGCAAGGCGGATGCGATGCAGGATCTGAAGGAAAGACCCAAGGCGACGGCGGCGAAGACACGCTCGGCACGGGTCCTGCAGGTGCTCGAACTGATCGCCCGCCAGGACGGCCCCGCCTCGGTGCAGGAGATCACCGAACAGTCCGGCCTTCCGAAAGCCACGGCCTATCGCATCTGCGCGATGCTGGAGGCCGATGGATTCCTGAGGCGTGAAATGGGCGGACGTGGCCTCGTCGCGGGTCCGCGTCTTCTGGCGCTGGCGCATACGCTGCTGGGCGGTTCGAGCCATGCGGCCGCCCGCCACGCCATCCTGGCATCGGCGGCGAGGCGCATCGGCGAGACCTGCAATCTGACCGTGCCCGACGGCAGTGAGATGATCTATCTCGACCGTGTCGAGTCGGAGTGGCCTTTGCGCCTGCAGCTTCCCACCGGCACGCGGGTTCCGCTGCACTGCACGGCCAGCGGCAAGCTGTTTCTCAGCAGCCTCAGTCCGGCAGCCCGCAAGCCGCTGCTGGCCAGCTTGTCCCTGGAGCGGCGCACCGCGAACACGATCACCGATGCGCAGAGGCTGCGGGAGGCCCTCGAGGAGATCCGCGAGACCGGCATCGGCACCGACAATGAGGAGTTTCTCGACGGCATGGTCGCGGTGGCCGTGCCGGTTACGGATTCCGAGGGGCGCCTCTTCGCCACCCTGGCAGTGCACGCCCCGGTGGTCCGCATGAGCCTCGAGCAGGCCCGCGCCCATGTGCCTGTGCTGCAGGACGCCGCGACCCAGCTGGCGGCGCTGAGTACGGCCTGAAGCCACCGCGTTTGACGGCGGTCGTCGAACGGTCGGCGTCGGTTCAGAGGGTCAGGCGCGGGCGCTCGCCGTGCAGGGTATCGATCAGCCGTTGCGGCAGGGTGAACTCCGCGGCCATGCGGCGCACGTCCTCCTCGGCATGCTCCAGCGAGCGGTGCAGGCGACCGATCTCGAAAAGGTTGCGGCGCTGGGGAATGGCGATGAGGAAACGGCTGTCGATGAAGGCGCAGTTGAGGGCGCCTTGCCCGGCGGCGTCGGCGATGGCCAGGAGCGAGTCCAGGAAGGCCGGCTGCAGCAGCCCCCGCGCTTCCTCCGGGTCGTCGCTGTAGACCTGATAGCGGGCTTCGAAGTCCGTATGGTCGAGGGGCACCGGCGAGAGGTTGGTAAGCCTGCTGCGCAGCAGATCGATGGCCCAGTTGCCCAGGGCGCCCTTGTCCTCGAGCAGTATCACGGTGCAGGAAAAGGCGCGCGGAACCGAGACCTCGCAGAGCAGGCCGGCAAAGGTCATCCGCAGGCGCTCTTTCGATCCTCTCTTCCGGCGACGCCGCAGCCGCGCCTCGACGACCCGGTAGTCGGTATCGCGGTAACGGCCGATCAGCAGGTCTTCCAGCTTCGCCTTGTCGAAGCCGGCGACGATCCCGCTGCGCTGAAACCGCCCGAGATCGAAGCGGTCCCCGGGCTTGCGGTGGTACTCCAGCCCGCCGAGATAGCGGCGCAGCGGCTCCACCACCAGGCTGCGCACGGCCTCGCGATGACGGCGACCGGGAATCCTGATCCAGAGGTAGCCCAGCAGGAGGCCGACGAAGACGACCGGGAAACCCAGGATGACCTCGCCGCTCCAGGCCACCGCGATCCCCGTGATCAGGGCGATGACGAAGGCGAGCCCTACGGCGCGCACATAGGTGGCGCGCAGCCGCTCCTTGCGCGCTTCCTCCATGGCCGGCAGGCCGGGGGCGATCGCTTCGGCAAAGAAGTCGGCGAAGGACTGCTTCTCACCCGCGCCGGCCTCGTCGGCGTTGTCTGGTCTCTCGTCCATCATGGGTCTTTCCGGCTCTTGGCACTGGTTTGCAGAAGGGCCTTCTCGGCCAGGGCGATGACGTCGCCGGCGCTCCGGCCGCTCTCGCGCAGCTCGCGGATCGACAGTCCGTCGTGGCGTTTGGCGAGGCGCCTGCCCTCATTGTCGGCGACTAGGCCGTGGTGATGGTAGTCCGGCACGGGCAGGCCGAGCAGCGCCTGCAGCAGGCGGTGCACGTGGCTCGCTTCGAAGAGGTCCGCGCCCCGCGTCACCAGGGTCACGTCCTGGGCCGCATCATCGACCACCACGGCCAGATGATAGCTGGCGGCGGCGTCCTTGCGGGCGAGCACCACGTCGCCCTGGGGACGGGGGTCGCAGACCTGCTGCCCGCGGTCGCGGTCGTGCCAGGTGAGGGGGCCGCCCGCCTCCGCCTCGGCCTCTGCGAGCGCGCGGAATACATCCAGGCGTAGGGCATAGCGCTCCCCGGCGCCGATGCGCTGCTGGCGCTCGGCGTTTGTGAGCCCGCGGCAGATGCCGGGGTAGATGGCTTCCCCTGGGCCAGGGGGGCCATGGGGGGCGGACCCGGCGCGGGCGATCTCGGCGGCGATTTCCTTGCGCGTGCAGAAACAGGGATAGAGCAGTTCCCGCGCCTGCAGGCGCTGCAGCGCGGCGGCGTAGTCGGCGGCACAGTCCGACTGGCGCCGCAGCGGCTGTTCCCAGCGGAGCCCGAGCCAGGCCAGGTCTTCCAGGATCGCTGCCTCGTACTCCGGCCTTGCCCGCCCACCGTCGATGTCCTCGATGCGCAGCAGAAACCGGCCGCCCCCGCCCTCATAGGCGTCCCTATAGGCGTTCCCGGAAGCGCCCTCGGCGGCACGTGCCGCGAAAACCGCAGCATAGGCGTGCCCCAGGTGCAGGTAGCCGCTGGGCGAGGGCGCGAAGCGGGTGGTCTCGCCGGGCGGCGCTGAAGAGGAAACCTCGGAAGGCGTCATGCGATTGGCCCTAAGCCTTCAAGCGGCTAAAGTCCAGTCATGATCCCTGAAGCAATGCCCGACGAGCGGCTGCGCCCGGCGATGGAAGCCCTGGCGCAGCAAGACCCCGACATGGCTGCGGCCTACCGGCGCTGCGGCTTGCCGCCCGAGCGCAGCAGCGAGCCCGGCTTTGCCGGTCTGATCCGCATGATCGCGGGCCAGCAGGTCTCGGTGCAGTCGGCCCGGGCCATCGTCGGGCGGCTGGAGGAACGGGTCGCCCCGCTGACGGCGGCAGGTTTCCTGCGGCTCGACGAGGACGACCTGAAGGCGATCGGCTTCAGCCGCCCCAAGATGCGCTACGGACGCCTGCTGGCCGAGGAGATCGTCAGCGGCCGCCTGGATATCGACGGCCTGGCCGGGATGGAGGATGCGGCGGCGATTGCGGCCCTGACCCGCGTGAAGGGGATCGGGCCCTGGACGGCGGAGATCTATCTGCTTTTCGCCCTCGGGCGGCCCGATGTCTGGCCGGTGGACGATCTGGCGCTCTGTGTCGCCGTCCAGCACCTGAAGGCTTTGGAGGCGCGGCCCGACCGTAAGGCGATGTTGACTCTCGGCGAGCCATGGCGTCCTTTCCGCAGCGCGGCAGCGCGCTTCTTGTGGCATCTCTATCGCCACCCGGGGGTCGCCCTCGGCCGTGGCGTGAAGCGGACCGCCTGATCCGCCCACCTGATCCGACTAGGGCTGAAGACAGGAGACCCTGAACCCGTGGACATTCAAAGCATCGACGGCCCGCGTCACGGGCCCGCTGAGGGCGTGCCGGTCTCGCGCCTCGTTGTCTTTCTGCACGGCCTGGGGGCGGACGGCAACGATCTGATTTCCCTGGCGCCGCTGCTCTCTCCTTTGCTCCCCGGCACGGCCTTCGTGTCGCCGCACGCGCCTTTTCCCTGCGACATGGCGCCGATGGGGCGCCAGTGGTTCAGCCTGCAGGACTTCTCGCCCGCCGCCATGCATGCGGGGGCCGTGGCCGCCGCGCCGATCCTGAATGCCTTTCTCGATGCCGAGCTGGCCCGCCACGGCCTGCAGGACCGGCAGTTGGCGCTGATCGGCTTTTCCCAGGGCACCATGATGGCGCTTCACGTGGCTTTGCGGCGGGCCAGGCCCTGCGCCTTGGTGGTCGGCTTCTCCGGGGCGCTCGTCAGGCCCGAGCTGCTGGCGGAAGAGGTGGTGAGCCGCCCGCCGGTGATCCTCGCCCACGGCGATGCGGATCCGGTGGTGCCCTTCGCCGCCATGGCAGGGGCGGAAAGCGCCCTGAAAGTTAACGCGGTGCCCGTGCATACGCTGGCGCGCCCGGGCCTTGGCCATGGCATCGACCAGGAAGGTCTGGAATTTGCTGCGGCAGCGCTCCGGCAGTATCTGATGGCGGAGGAGCCTCCGGAGGCGCGCGGCGGTTCGAACGCCTGAAGCGCATCGGCGCCGATCCGTTTCGTTCCGGATCGCGGCTGCCCCGCCGCTCGGCGCGGTCGAAGGCCTGCTGCATGCGCGAGCATGTTCGACCTATCCGTGGCCCTTCTGCGCCGGCTGAGAGCCCCGGGAATCTGCCGCTACGTGCCCGAAATCCGGGAAAAGTGGCCCGTCGCTGCGCCGTGACTGTTGCAGCCTCCGGCAAGGCCGACTACCATCCAAAGTTGCGATCTTCAAAAACAGCGCCCCCGGTGCTTTAGCCATTCTGAGATGGGGGGTGGGGGCGCAGACAAACATATTCGCAGGGAAGCTGTCGTGCATCCGTCGGTACAGTCCAGCCGGACAATCCTGTTTGAAATGCTGCGGTCCTACACCGCGCTGGCTCACACCCGCAACCTGTCCCAGGCCGTTGAGATGCTGGGCAGCACCCGGCAAACGGTCAGGCGCCATATCGGCACGCTGGAGGAGATCAGGGGCGAGAAGCTCTTCGAGATGAGGAACCGGCAATACTGCCTCACCGAGGCGGGATTGCGCTCGCTCAAGGAGGCCGAGTCCATCCTGGCGCGGGGCGAGGCCTGGCTGATCGGCGGCATTTCCGACTCAGACGGCCTGCCGCTGGTGCGCGACGCCGGCGAAGACGGACCGGTGCTCTTTGCCCAACAGCACCGCATCAGCCGCCTCTGGGTCGATCAGTCGCCGCTGCTGCAGACCGGGCTGCGCTGCTGGGCGAATTCCAAGGCGACGATCGAATCCCCTGAACTGGCGGTGATCCGCCCCTACCTCGTCGTCTACCGTCGTTACGGTCAGGGGTGGATCTGTGTCGAGATCGGCGACAAGTCATCCTATGCCTCCTGGTTCGGATGGGCCTGGGCCAAGAGCAATGTCGGCTGCACCGTGCAGGAAATGCCTGCGGGTGCCGGCTATGCCCGGTTCATTTCCCAGGCCTATCAGAGCGTCTTCGAGGGGCAGTCCGTGCGGCTCGATCACATTCACACGGAAATGCCGAGAGAGCGGGACGGGCCCTGCGTGCCGGTGAGCTTCCAGCGCCTGCTGCTGGGCTTTACCTTTCCGGACGGCGAATTCGCCCTGGCGTTGCTGGTGGACCGGACCTACAACCTTGCAATCGACGGCGTCGGGGAGGAGCGGATACGGGCCATGCCGCAGGATCTGTTGATGGCATTCGAGCCAAATTCAATCGAAGCTCAAGAATAATCACACACCTCGAGCTTATGCTCCCTGTGTTGCACCATAACACAGGAGCGGATTGTGACCACGCAGGAAGTTCTTTCCGGTAGCCGTTTCGTGACGGCCATCAAAGAGTTGGTGAAGGACCAGGGGCTCACTCTAGAGATCGGTTCGGATTTCACAGCCTTGCGGGAGGCCCTGAAGGACCAGCCCGAAAGGCAGGGGCTGGCACCGCGGTTCGATCCGGACGTGAGCGAGATCGACGAAGCGTCGGGCTTCTGGATTCTGGGGCGCAGCAAGACAGGTGAGGTGGTTCATACCCAGGCCATGCGCATGGTCGACCTGGGCGGACGGACCCTGTCGGGCTATCTGGACGAGCGCTTCCGCGATTTCACGCCGGCAGGTTATGCCATCGATTTCTCCCGCTCCCACTACCGCGGCGCCCCCGGTTCGCGGATGATCGCAGGAAAGGTCTGCTACCACGGCGAACTCTGGCTGAAGGGCGGGCCCGGCGGCTTTCGCGGCGCAGGCTTCACGGCGGTGCTGGCACGCCTGGCTTTGGTGAAGGCGCTGTTGAAATGGGCGCCCGACTATGTCTTCGGGTTCATGTTTCCGCTGGCTGCCTGCAAGGGGCTGGCCGCCCGGGAAGGCTACATGCATACCGAGCCCGGCAGTCTCTATTGGGCGGTCTCGGGCCGGCAGCGTCCGCTGGAGACCTGGACGGTCTGGATGAGCCGGGCGGATATCCGGCACATCCTGCAGATCCCGCCCACCGACCTCTTCTATGAACTGGAAGCCGAGCAGAGCCGGCGGCAGGCCGTCAAAGCCGCGTAGAACAGATCGGGGTTTGGCAGGTCAGGGTTTGGCAGGTCAGGGTTTGGCAGGTCAGGGTTTGACGGAATCGCCGCAGGCGATCCCGTCCAAACGCGATCCGTTCTAGGACGCGCGCAGCGAAGCGAGGACGCTTTCGACCGACCGGCGCAGCTGGTCGGCCTGGCCCGAGAGTTCCTCTGTGGCGCTGGTGACCTGGCCGGCCGACTGGCCGGTCTCGGCGGCGGTCTGGCTGACGCTGCGGATGTTGGCGGTGACGCGCTGTGTGCCCTGCGCGGCCTGCTGGACGTTGCGCGAAATCTCCATGGTGGCCGCGTTCTGCTGCTCCACGGCCGAGGCGATTCCCGAGCTCACTTCGCTGATGCGGTTGATCGCCTGACGCAGCCCTTCGATGGCCTTGACCGTATCTCCCGTGACCGTCTGCATACCGCTGATCTGGGCGGAGATTTCCTCGGTTGCCTTGGCGGTCTGGTTGGCCAGCGACTTCACCTCGTTGGCGACGACGGCGAAACCCTTGCCGGCTTCGCCGGCGCGCGCCGCCTCGATGGTCGCGTTCAGGGCCAGCAGGTTCGTCTGCTCGGCGATGTCGTTGATCAAGGAGATCACGTCGCCGATCTTCCGGGCCCCTTCGGAGAGGCTCTGCACCGTTTGCGCGGACTCTTCGGCCCGCGCGACGGCCTCCTTGGAGATGTCGGTCGACTGCGAGACCTGGCGGCTGATTTCCTGGATCGAACTTGAGAGCTCTTCGGAGGCGGAGGAGACGGTCTGGACGCTGGCGGAGGCCTCTTCGGCGGCGGCCGAGACCTCATTGGCCTGGCTGTCGGTGGTCTGCGCCGACTGGCTCATGCTGGACGCGGTGTCCTGCAGCTGCGCCGCGGCGGAGGAGACGGTGTCGACGACGGACTTGATGTTGGCCTCCAGGTCGTCGGCCATCTTCAAGGTGGCCGCGCGCTTCTCCTGGGCCGTGCGCTTGTCGCGCGCAGCCTGTTCACCGGCCATCTTTTCCGCCGCGGCGCCCTGTTCCTTGAAGACCTGCACGGCCGCCGCCATGGCGCCCAGCTCATCGCGCCGCCCGGTGGCCGGCACCGCGACGTCCTTGTTGCCGCCGGCCAGGCTGCGCATGGCTTCGGTCATGGCCGAGAGCGGACGGACGATCGAGAGCGAGATCAGGTAGCCCAGGGCCGAGACGAGGGCCAGCGCCACGAAGGTGACGATCAGGGCGGTGTTACGCAGGGCCGCGACGGCGGCGAAGATTTCGCTGGACCGGGCCTCGGCGATCAGGGCCCAGCGCGTGCCCATGAAATCGAGCGGCCCGTAAGCGATGCTGGCCCGGTGACCGCGGTAGCTTTCGGTCTTCATGACGCCGGCTTCACCGCTCAAGGCCTTGGCGACGGCGTCGTTGTCGACGCGCTGCACCAGGATCGTCGACTCTTCGCTGAACCGCGAGGTGCTGCGCATCAGCATGTCCTCGCCGACGATGAAGGACTCTCCCGTCTCTCCCAGGCCGGCGGTGTTCAGCATCACCCTGTTCAGGTTGTCGATCGGCATCTGGAAAACGAGCACGCCTTCCAGCCGGCCGTTGTCGTCCAGCATAGGGGTCGAGATGAAGCTGGCGGGCGCGCCATGACTCGGCGCATAGGGTTTGAAGTCGAAAAACGTCTGAGAGTCCGCAGTCGGGTTCTGCGCTGCGGCGCGGAAGGCGTTGCCCAGATCGCTATCTTTGTACGCGCCGGTGTTCAGGTTGGTGGCGTAGTCGAGTTCCTTGAAAACCGAGTAGATCAGGTTGCCTTCGGTATCGAACAGGAAGATGTCGTAATAGCCGCGCTCGCGCAGGAAGCTGCGCAGCCAGGGGTGATAGCGGCCGTGATGGGCGCTGTAGAGGGAACTGTCCGACGCCCGGTCAAGGTTCTCTTTCTGGCCGGTGGGGTTCGGGTTGTCGGTGATGTAGAGCCGCTGCAGTTCGCTTTCGGCCTCCGGCCCGAGCTGGCGCCAGGCGGCGGTGAAGTCGCGCAGCGCACGCCGCACCGTCTCGTTGCCGGACACGATCCGCAGATCCTGCTGGATCGAACTGAGATAGTCAGCCAGCGCGGCGGTGCGCACCTCGCGCAGCGCCGTCAGCTTCTGCTCCGCTTCCGCCCGCAGGGCATTGGCTGCGATGAAATAGCTGCTGACGCCGACGGCGACGGCTGAGGCAAGGGCAGCGGCGAGGATGACCAGGGGCAGCTTGCGGGCGATGCTGAGCCCGCCGCGCGCCCGGGAGCCGGTGATTGCTGTGTCTGACATGGGTTTCATCCCAATCTCGTGGACTGCGCAGCCGGCACGCGACAGATTCCGGGCGGCGCACTTCTGTTGGAATAAATCACATCAAATTATTGAAATTCGCTTAGCAGTAGAATTAGAAGAAACTAATACAATAACCTGGCGAAGGTCCGGCAGCGGTCCTGCGACTACGGCAGGGGCCGCGGAGCGGCGGAACATGAAACTTCAATGAAGACTTAAGGGGCCGGAATCCCTATATCTTGTATGTCGCAACGGCTTTTAGTATCTATGGCGCGTCCCTTGGACCGGCGATCAAGCCGCGGAGACGCAGCAGAGGAAGGACGGACCGGAGCATGACCGGTGCAGTTCAGACCTACCCGGCGCTGGTTCTCAACGCTGACTTCCGTCCGTTGAGCTACTTCCCGCTGTCGCTGTGGTCCTGGCAGGACTCGATCAAGGCTGTCTTCCTCGACCGGGTGAACATCGTCTCCGAGTACGACACCGTGGTGCGCTCACCGAGCTTCGAGATGAAGCTGCCGAGCGTGATCGCCCTGAAGCAGTATGTCAGCCTGGACCGCCGTCCGGCCTTCACACGCTTCAACGTGTTCCTGCGCGATCACTTCCAGTGCCAGTACTGTGCGGAGAGTCTGCCGGCGGAGGACCTGACCTTCGACCACATCATCCCGCGTTCGCGCGGTGGCCGGACCTCCTGGGAGAATGTCGTG